ACCTTCGGGAGGAGTTTACAGGTAGAGAACGCAAAGAAGAAGATCTTACGCTAAATCATCTTATCTTTTGCTATTGCATGTAGCTCAACCCAAGTCCTCCTTAACTTTTAACTTCATTCTCTAGCTCTCTTCTCCGTGTGTGTTTTTTTTTTTTTTTTTTTTATTGGTCTGCCTTTATTTCTATAACCACATGGGTTCCAATGAAAAGCCATTTTAATTATAGTATTCTCAGATTTCCTTAACGTGTGTCTTATCCAACGCCAGCATCTCTTCCTCACCTCTTTATTCACCTGAATTTGTTTAGCACTTTCCCAAAGCTCAACAGTAATGGTTCCGTTGAATCATTTAATGTCCTCTATTCTGTGCAGGCACCAGTTCATGAATTTGTGTAGTTTTTTTTTTTTTTTTTTTTTTTTTTGGGGGGGGGGGGGGGGGGTGATTGTTTCAAATGTTTTCCATGTAACAAGATCTTGTAAAGTAAGTACATAATACTTTCCACGCCACTGGCTCATCTGTCCCCATATTCAAAAGCCAGCAAGGTTTCATGTTCGTCTTGCACTTTCTCTCTTCCTACCCTTATATTTCTAGGTGTCAGAAATGTTCGCACCTTATCGAAGGTACTTAACATCTATCTACAATCACTTCTCATACCAACCGATCCTGCTAGAGGTAACGTTAATTTCGTATTTCCTATGTGTGCTCTGTCCTCATCTTCGGCAGCCAGTGCAGAGTTACAATACTGACGGTACCGGTCACAATCTGGTTAAATGTCCGTCTTGCCTTTCCTCTGAGTGTAGTGAGCCGGCCAGACCCTCTGGTTAGACTCAGGTGCCTCATTCTCTCCAGGCCATAACAATATTCTTTCTCTACTGATTCCGTTGGTTGTTTCCTAAAAGGCCTTGATCACTGTATCAATTCACCACCTAGTGGTGCAGATCCAGCTAATCTGTCTGCCTGTTAATTACCCACCATTGCCTGGAGAAAAGATCCAAAGTATGCTCACTACCCGTGAGCTTTCCAGTGAAGCTTGCTGCTTCTGCTCGAAGCACCTGTCTTCACCTTTTTCAGCATGCTTTTAGAGTCTGTTACAATTACGACATGTGCATGCATCTTGTTCTCTAGCCACCGGAGAGCTGCAGTTACCGCCTCCACCTCCAGTCTCATGCTAGACGTTGTGGTGTCATATACAAGGCTGTCTTGCACTGAAGATTTTCCATTGGCTTTCGCTGCGAAGCCCTAGTCACTTTTCTTTCCTCTTAACACCGAACCATCTGTATAGATAATCAGATCACCTGGGAGTGAAATGTCGTGAATCAACCGTTGGACTTCCACCTCGGTAGCATCCGCTGGCCACCCTCGGTACACTCGGCCCAATGCGATCATAACCCTACACATGTCAGACTTCTCCGCTGGTACCCTGGCCCACTCCTCTCCTCGTCATCATTCATACTTGTCTTATTGTGTCTTCTGCTTGAGCCATCCACGATTTTTCCATTTTCAGCCTCTGACCCTACCTGCAGCCAAAACTTCATACAGAGGGTGTTCTCTGTCTGCAGCTACTGTGATGTATGACTTAGCCTGCAGCACCTTTAGCCTATCTACACAAGTCGACAATGCAAGAATGTATCGCATGCGCACAATCGGGGTGTCTCTTATACATCCCAGGATCAGCCGCACAGCTTCATTCTGTATTCGCTCCAGTGATTTTGTGAAACTGACTGAAGTCCGTTCCAGAAACCCTGCCGAACTTTAAAAATCTGTAACCCTGTAACCGTTCAGTGTAAGTTGTTAAAAGTTGGCATGCAGCCTACTAATAATCATGTCCTTATAAGAATTTTTTTTTTTTAATTGTAAGCAAACATAGTTTTCATTTTGCCTCTTTTGCGGTATATAACAGATACCGACTCAAAGCATGCTTCAGTAACATGATTAAGGGGAACTGTTCAAAACATGAAATTCCACGCATGTCATGGGTGTTTTACTCTCAGGTGGTCAACTCCAGCCTAAGTCTCCCTTGAGGTGGGAATTCTTCATTGAGTGAGGAATAGGCTATCAAAATAATCACCATGCATCACCACGCATGTGAACTGATTTTCGAACAAATTCCACAATCTTTAATATTGAATGGAGAATCGACATTACAGCACTCGGGACACTCCCAAAAACGCTCCGTCACCATCTTCAGCAGCAAGCGAAAAGTTATGATTCCGATGACACCAGTAACTGTCTGTTCATCCATCTCGCCTTTTCCTTGAGTGTTGAGGGTCGGCTAGATCCTCTGAAAACTGCTCGAAGCGCCATTCTTCTCAGACCGTAATGATCTATATGTGCCTCCGCAGTGTTCTATAGCTCCCAAAGGATCCTTATAACATCTAGCTTGTCATACATCAATCCACCACCAAGTGGTGCAGAACCGGCCAGTATATCTCCTGCTCGTTTTCCCAACACACCGACATGACATGGAGAAAATATCCAAAGGAGGCTAACTATCTGGAACCTCTGAAATGGTATGGTCATTCAACGCAAATGAATCGAATGATGCTACCAGTGAAAGCGTACATCACGAAGGTAGAAACACAAATAGAGGACGACCGGGAAGATGGCATGGAGGAGTCACTGATACCTTGTGACTCCACAACACCATAGCATACCAGGCAACCGAACGTGCCATAGCTCGGATACCAATCATTTGTTTAGCCTGAGACGCTTAGCGGCACAAAGCAGAATATGAACAAAAATCGGAGGGGGGGGGGGAGAGAGAACAGGTCGCCCCAATCCAACACCAAAATCTGTTGCTTTTTGGGTTTTACTAACAGCATAACATTCCGTTTTGCTCTTGCTTCCTTATTGTCAGATCGACAGCTGTTGAATGCAACCGGGTATGTCAGACATGTGAAACTGTATCCATAACTCATGAGCAATAAAAGTGAAGAGGGCCGCTTAGTTAATGTTGAAGGAACTACAAACAAAATATACTATGGAAAGAAAGCTTACAGAAAGCAAAGGCACACACAGTTACAACCGAACGTTTTAAACAGAATCTTTATCAACGAATTATAACAGCAGACGATAACAGCAGATAGGGGTTGTCTTTGTTTTAATTACGTATTTAATTATTTTTTTTTGGGGGGGGGGGGCAAGGGGAGGGGGGTGGGGGTCTAAGCTAACCTTGCTGTTTGTTAATTAGAGAGAGGCAGAAAGACACGCAGATAGACGGGCGGACATCTAAATTAGATAGACAGACAGGCAGACAAACAGACAGAGAGATAAATAGGTAGGTAGACAGACAGACAAACAGACAAATAGGCACGCAGACAGACAGAGGGACAGAAAACTAAATTGAACAGACAGACGGATTTACGGACTGGCGGGGGACAGACAGACATACAGACAGACAGACAGACAGACAGACAGACAGACAGACAGACAGACAGACAGACAGGCAGGCAGGCAGGCAGGCAGGCAGGCAGGCAGGCAGGCAGGCAGATAGATAGATAGATAGATAGATAGATAGATAGATAGATAGATAGATAGATAGATAGATAGATAGATAGATAGATAGATAGATAGATAGATAGATAGATAGATAGATAGATAGATAGATAGATAGATAGATAGATAGATAGATAGATAGATAGATAGATTAGATAGATAGATAGATAGATAGATAGATAGATAGATAGATAGATAGATAGATAGATAGATAGATAGATAGATAGATAGATAGATAGATAGATAGATAGATAGATAGATAGGGTGGATTCGCTGGTGAGCGGGTACATTTATTTCTATCGACAGTTTTTCTGATCACTTCTACTACAAAGAAACAGAAAACAAGAAAACTAAATGCATTTATCTGGCCTTTATTAGGATTTCACCAAAATCTGTCACGTAGAATGAAACAATCGCAACTGTATGTTATCTCAAATCTGCAAAATATCCAGCCCTATAATGTGACATGTGTAATAGTCATGATTGTGAATTCGCGAATGGGTTTTCTGCCTAGTTTGAGTTCCTTTATTAGAATCTAGAAATAACATCTCAGCATGAAAACAAACGTGCAGATGTTAACACTTGTGTGACTATGTCTGTATGTTTGTTGGGTCATCTGTCTTTGTGTTGTATTTTTTTTTTTTTTACACAGAGGAAGGCTAGCTCTTTGACATGTTTGGCTCTTAGAAACTGAAATACTTTGGTGATATTAAATACGGTGATGGTTAGCAGAAAACGGAGATAGGACATATGACTACTGAAAGAAGAAGCTGGGAGCACTGGTATTAACGTAGATAAGTAATTAGGGTAGTGTGCAGGCAGTTAGATGGTCGGTAAGGTGAAACAATTGTGATTTGATAGCTAGATAGACATGTTAAATTGTTTTAAGTATTTCGCCTCCAGATTTGCATTCTGCAGGATAAACTAAAATATGTGTAAGTGGTGTGGTAGTGCATTGTGCATAAGCTCATCTGATAATTACTCACACACACACACACACACACATATATATATCGAGATAGAGAGAGAGAGAGAGAGCGCGCGAGAGAGAGAGAGAGAGAGCGAGAGAGATAGAGTTTGTGTGTGGTGTATGCGTCTATGTGCTTGAGGGCAATGATAGATAGATAGATGCTGGAGCAGATCGTACAATGTGGAGAAGCGTGATCACCAGTGTCAGTGGACAAGTCACATGATGGTGCTGATGTATCTTCTAACATGAATGTAAAGATATATATATATATATATTGTGTGAGCAGTTATGTGTTTATGCACTTATGTCCATCGTCACGCATATGGAGGTATATTGAATGCTCATATGAACTTATGTATTCATGTTATGTATGTATGTATGTATGTATGTGTGTGTGTGTGTGTGCGCGTGTGTGTGTGTGCGTGTGTGTGTGTATGCATGCAGGAGAAAGAAAGGGGGAGGGAGCGTGTGTGTGGATAGATGCATGTATTTATATCACATACATGCATGTAACCACCCACGTGTGTGTTCGTCTTTACTAACCCCCTTCATCTCCCAAAGGAGTCGGAATAGAATCAAAGTACAAACAACCGCCCAAGGTTAGCAGGAGCACTGCCAGCCCCAAAGGGTATCCCAGCAAAACCGTGATCAGCATAGACAGGGTCTGCATCACGCTCAAAATGAAATTCAAGATTAGCTCTAACGTTATCAGCAGCAGATACACCGGTATCGCGATGACTTGTACCAAAGTAGAGAGCAGCTGAAGAAGGAAATACGTCCCGGGACCGCAGCTGCTTCTGGAGCAGAAGTCAATTCCGTAGTGCAGGGTGTCGGATATTAACACCAGAACTAGCAGTAGAATGAAGAGCACGGCTGGCAGCAGGACGAATCCAATAACGGCTTGTGACACCATTGTTATCCTTGTAGTTTTTAAATATACCCAGATGATATGTGAGTCTCCGACTGCAATAGAATATCAGAATCAAAAGGATTACTAGATGGTGTCGTGGTCCTTTTGTCTACACTTTGTTCGTGCAGTGGGAATCGTTTTTGTTGTAGATGCGACTGGCGTATTTGCTTCTGCGGAATTATTATGACGCTCTGTTAATTTGAATTCACGGTGCTGCTTCGACACTAGTAAATTTGTTCACACTGATTCCCTAGTGCCAGCTGTTACAATTATTACGGTTATTTCAAGTAACCGGTATTTTATCACTTGTATTTGTTACCACTTTTGAATTATTCTTGGCTCAGTCGTGTTTTTTTTTTTTTACAGACTGGATGGTGCTGAGTCAGCTACTGTATGTTTTATTCTTACAGACAAAGAAGCTGGTAAAGTATTCCTGGGAATAAAAAAAAATTTATGCTGGTAACTTAATAATTATTCCCAACGTATTTGTCCCCGCTGTTACGATATTTGCATCCTATCTTGGAGGGGAATATTTTGATTATGGTAATTACAATGGCTGTCAAATTACCTCTGGCATATAATCACAGCTGTTGAATTGTTTCTAAAAAAACATAACTGTTCGTTTCCAATACAGCTCTTAAATGTGTAAACTTGTTAAACCGATGATTGTCACAGCTCTATAAATATCGGATTTTCCGTTTGTGCCTGGCTGCTTTTTGCGTCTATATCCATTAAATTAGTCACTGGGCGATTCTAGATATTGGAATATTTAAAAAGACGCTCAAGATTGTTAACATTTTATCAACAATATAAACCAAATTGAAACTGGTATAGTCAGCGATGTTTCTGGCTTTTCCCGACAATCAGTTTTTATACAGGTTACCGCACACTATCCGCTCTCTGGATGAATCGTTAGAAAAGCATCAACTATGGTCTTATCGAAATTTACAACCATGAAGAAAAAAAAACAAGTTGATTTAGAATGAATGTCTCTGTCATCATCTGCTAACGGACTGTTAGTTGTTCTCTTTTGAGATGACAACACGAGGCAGCCGTGCACGTTTCTGTGTTAGTGTGCCTTTGAAATCAATCTGTGTGGAAGAAAAGTTTAACTTGAGTTTCTCCTGGGTATCTATAGCCAGGCCAAGCACTAAGGAGAAATACAGTGCTGGATAAAAAACGCACACATTTTTACGTTTGGATCGCCATGTTTCTTAGGAAATGACGTACTAAACATAATCTTTTTTTACGAAACAATTTAACGTAATTCTTTTTTTGGAAAAGGGGGGGGGGGGGGTGTAATAATTGCAGTGTGTGATTTCTTTGTCCTCTCCCAAAGTGTCTCCACCTTGCCGAGGTGGGGATGACACCAAGTGTTTGTACGTCTGTCTGGTTATTATCTCTCCGTCGTCTTCTTGGTCGGCCTCGTGGTCTACGACCTTTCAGCTCCCTTGTTTACAGTTTTTACGTCTCTGTCATCTGATATTCTTTCAATATGCTCCAGCCATTTCAGTTTGTAATCCCTTATGATGCCAGTGATCAATGGTGATTCAAACAGATTGTGAATTCCGTTGCTGCTTCTCACTCTCCTTTGTTCACTGTTTGCATCTTTGGTGGGTCCAAAGATTTGTCGTAAGACTATATTTTCAAAAATTTGTAATAAAGCTTAACCTCTTTTAGTTGTACTCAAATTTAGGAGCCATATAAAACGACAAGTCTTATAAACGTTCTATATATTTTGATCTTCGTGTTGCGAGACAGAACAGATCAATAATAGATGAGATATTAATTTTACTGCAAATAACAAAACGAAACTGGGAGTATAGAAGAGCTGTACATAATGGTTTTGTAGAATTTTTAAAAGGCATACGATAGTGTGCACAGAATCAGTTTATGGAATGCTATGAAGGACTTTGAAATAACACAGAAGTCAATTACGATGACCAAAATATGTATGGAAGACACTTATAATATAGAAACACAAATAGCATACACACGCAATAAATATATAAATCAGTCATCAGAAGTTCCAATACAAAATTCCGCCACTAGAACTGCAGATAACAGTCGAAAGAAACAGCAGTTGCAAAAGATCAGCAATTGCACACGTAATATTACATAAAGACTGAGCCGTCGTAAGGCATGGGCCCGCTGGGCACTTGCCCGTTGGTCCCATAGGTATAGGTCCCCGATGCTAATCTGTGTATTTTAATTGACTTGCCATCTAAGACGGTGGTAGTAGTTTCATACAGTGTTATCTAATCTGGGTTTATCTACTAACACCAGTGTTATGGTTTATACAACAGATCAACATCATTGAAGAAGGGTAGTAACCCATAAGTGCTCCGTTCTACTTTTAACTCAAGCCTGAGTCCAAAGAGTCTCAGCGCAGTTCACGAAATCCGTAGCATCAGCGAGGATCCTGAAATAATTTGCCTAGATCATTAACTCCTAATTTTCCAACTGCAAAGGGATGTCTTTCGTACACAACAATACACACAAGCGTCCGATCTTACTACCCAGAGACCAGGAGAAATTACTAGAAGTCCACGTGAAAAACTCTCAACCTTCACCAGGGCGTTACCCGGGACCTCCAGTACTCGAGGCAGACGCAGTAGGTTTGTTACGTGCCAGTAAAATAAATATGTATGTATGATATAATCGACCATTTACATTGCATTCCTGTGATTGGTTGTCGTAGAGAATCCAGTTTTCCCAGGGACCCATAATGCGGTTAAGACGGCTCTGTATAAGGAAAGCCAGTTAAGTGGCAGCAGTCAACTCGCCACTATCCTATATCTCTCATGGCACGCCTAAACGTCGCTCTCTTCACGGCACGCCTAAACTTCGCTCTCTCTTTATGGCACGCCTGAACGTCGCTCTCTTTACGGCACGCCTAAACATCTCTCTCTTCACGGCACGCCTGAACGTCGCTCTCTTCATGGCACGCCTGAACATCTCTCTCGTCATGGCACACCTGAACGTCTCTCTCTTTATTTCACTTCTGAACGTTGCTCTCGTCATGGCACACCTGAAGGACGCTCTCTTCGTAGCACGCCTGAACGTTGCTCTCGTCATGGCAAACCTAAAGGACGCTCTCTTCATGGCACACCTGAACGTTTCTCTCATCATGGCACTTCTGAACGTTGCTCTCGTCATGACACGCCTGAACGATGCTCTCGTCATGGCATACCTGAACGTTGCTCTCGTCATGGCATACCTGAACGTTGCTCTCGTCATGGCATACCTGAACGTTGCTCTCGTCATGGCATACCTGAACGATGCTCTCGTCATGGCACACCTGAACGTTGCTCTCGTCATGGCACACCTGAACGTTGCTCTCGTCATGGAACACCTGAAGGACGCTCTCTTCATGGCACGCCTGAACGTTGCTCTCGTCGTAAAGGACATGGCACACCTAAACGTTGCGCTCGTCACGCCTGAATTTCACTTCTGAACGTTGCTCTCTTGACATTCACACTCTCGTCATGACACACCTGAACGTTGCTCTCGTCATGGAACACCTGAACGTTGCTCTCGTCATGGCACACCTGAACGTTGCTCTCGTCATGGCACTTCTGAACGTTGCTCTCGTCATGGCACACCTGAACGTTGCTCTCGTCATGACACACCTGAACGTTGCTCTCGTCATGGCACGCCTGAACGTTGCTCTCTTCGTGGCACGCCTGAACGTTACTCTCGTGCCTGAACGTTGCTCTCGTCCTGACACTTCTGAACGTTGCTCTCGTCGTGGCACACCTGAACGTTGCTCTCGTCATGGCACACCTGAAAGTTGCTCTCGTCGTGGCACACCTGAACGTTGCTCTCGTCATGGCACACCTGAAAGTTGCTCTCATCATGGCACGCCTGAACGTCGCTCTCGTCATGGCACGCCTGAACGTCGCTCTCTCGTCATGGCACACATGAACGTCTCTCTTTCCCTAGCCAGTTCTCCAGCTGTGTTTGCTTTCAAAGCCAAATCATCTTCAGTGTCCTGTATCCACATTCGCAAGGGTGTGTCTCTGCCTCGTTTTCCGGAAATGATACCCTTCATCACCGTTCTCTCCAGGCCAACATGCCATTTAACATAACCAAGGAATCTCAATTATCGGGACAGAATGCTGTTCGTGTGCCCATTCTACTCTATGTTTGCATCATGTAAGGATGTCGGCGTTTCTCTTCTTCTTGGTCTATTGTATTCTCAGAACTGTTCTGTAGTATTTCCGTTCAATTTGTCTTCCTTCCTAAGTGATTGAGTAAGCGTCCATGACTCACATTCATTGCCACGGAAAAGAATGATGACCTCGAAATGTATACATTTAACTCGCACATCAGTGATGAATCTCTTTATCAGGGGTGGGAAAATTATATCCGCAGACAATAATAATGCAGTCGTCCCCATGAGGGATGCAATTCAATGTTATTTTAAGCATCACCCTGGCTTTTGCCGGGGGCCCTGAATTTAGCCGAGCCATAAATATGACCTAACATCTGAAATGGATTTCTGGGACCTCTCCACCTCAACCGCATGGTAGCACTTTGGGTCACCGGGTGTTTATCACTTGTGTGATGTCCTGGTGAGGTACTTCTACCTACGTAGCTCCGCACGCAGTGTTGTTTCTTTTTTTAAGTCATGACCCTTGTAATCTCAGTGGCATCGTGCAAATGATGCTAGAACCCCACTTCTTTCTAGGAACTATCGGTGCTCGATGGACCATGTGGTCAACTTCACTTCAGCAGCTTTTACTTCCCAATATCTTTCCTGGTGGCTATTTAATGCTGGGTCGAGCTGAGCAGGTCGCATAAGGCTCATGAAATTATTTAGTCTGGCCGTACCAAGGTATCCGGCGATGAAATGTTTCACCAGACATAGTGATGTAATCATATTACTAACCCTCCCGCCCCTTTATGGGTCATTTTTTTATTTTTTATTTTAAAGCCCCAGCCCAGATCCCCTCGGGAGCGATAATATAACCTAACAGTTGAACGGGGTTTCTGGGACT